TATCTATTTGAGAAAAAACGCATGTTTCCTAAATGGATGGCGTCCTGTCTAATACTATTTCTTCAACAGTAATTGTTGATGATCAGCTCATATACATTGTTTTTTTTTGTTTTGTTTTTTCAAAATAACTATAGATGTGTCCATTTAGCGTAAAAATGAAAATCAGTTATAGTTGCATTGACTACTGCTATTGTGATTGAATAAAGTATTATTCTTAAATATGATGTAAGACAATCAACAAACACCATGTAGATAAGACCAGACAAAGCACAACGCAAGGCACATATCAATACGCATATTATGCTCCATGACATACATTACACATAAGTATTGCACAACGGGTTAGCACATGTATATAGCCAGGAGTAAAAATGCAACCGACTTTGTTATTAATATACAAATATAATAATGTCTTAATAAACGATTGATTTACTCCGATAAAAGCTTTGATTCCATCCATCACTTTATGTAGCTCATCGTTTGCTTTTCGAAGACATGTTTCGTAAACAAGCTGAAAAGAAATGCAACAAACGTTGTATAAAACACTAGTTATTTGTCAGGCATCTCTTAATATGTTTTATATACTTAAGATTTTATTTTATCATTTCTACAAAAAGAATCAATTAAGTAAATGAGTATTTTGCATTCCGTTTTAGAAAACATACACATTGAAGACTACCCTTAAAGATAAGTATATCACAAGGAAGTGGTAAATACAAGACTAAGTTTGATGTTCATTCTTACACAGAATATCTCTAATATCATACGACAGACTTGTTCATCTGACACCCCATTCTTACTCAAAACGTCAAATGCATCATTCCATTCATTGTAGTAAAGTTCCGAATATTGTTCAGCTAGTTTTGTAGGCCAGTTACCATCACTGAAGTCTGCAATATTAGGATTGCCATCAATGAGCTTAGCAGTGGCAACGGCACTGAACCTAAAATAAAAATTGATTCAAAATGTAGGTATAAGAATAAAGACAACAAAGTTCAAGACATTTTGTCGGCTAGTTGCTCTTGTTTTATTTTGTATTTCTTTGTTTGGTTTTATAATTTTTACTTACAGTTCAAAATACAAAATGTCGCGATTATGCTCTTTAAGAAAATTGATTAAAAATATGTATGCATCATATATTCCAATGTCTTATATTAGAAGGAAGTTACCGTGTCGAAAGAATGTCTATTTCGTGTTTCAAAGCTTCATTTTCTTCTTTAATCTTTGTTAATTTACTGTCCAGAGTAGTTCGATCTTTCTTTTGTCTTCAGATAGAAAACACAATCATGAACTACTTCCACATTTGTTAATAGAACTATCATCTCGTTAAAGGGACGACACGAATCAAAATTTATTTACAAAAAAAAATGAACATTTGTTATTAATGATGGCAAGTGCAGTTGATTTAGTTGTGTTTTAAAGTTTCTATATTTTTCTGTATTATACAACATGACTGTTGAAAATGAAAACATATTTGGAAAGCATGAACTTATATCAGTTAAATAGAATTTCACAAATTGAACCATATGTGTTTTTATTTGCATATTTCTGCTTTGTTTCCATTTGCACTTGACGTTGAGTTATATTTTACATATACGCGTTGGAAACATCAGTGGAACTAAAGTAGTTATTAGAGCTATGACTTAGGTGGGAATTGAATAAATAACTTTTAAATTATTAGATAGAATGTTATCATGACAGAATTACAGAATAAATAATACAATGATAAATACCACATGACTTAAGTCTGTAAATGACGATTTATGGGTAAATCTGCACAATTATTGTGTTGAAAGCAATTTAGAGTATTTGAGAAAGGCACCTTAAATAGATTTAACGCCTTCTTTGACGTTTGACGTGCGCCGCGATTCAGATAGTTTCCATGGTGTTTATGGCATAGTTTTGTTGTTTGTTAATATATTTCCTTGTAAATTTGTGAAAATGTTTAAATTAAATGGGTTTATAACATATTACAATATCAAATTCGTACCTATTTTATTTAGCCCTTAAACACTCTTGTCACAGAATATTGGGACAACCCACGTATTTGGCTGAAATATCCAATAAGATGGTTGTATTTTTCAAAATCTTTGCGTTTTTTATTAATTTGATTAATACCAAAAACACATTAAAAACACAATTGCATCCACTAATAAGGTAAATGTTTGTTAAGCCAGCCAGCATAAATGCTAATGAATCTTTCGATCGTCTGTGTCACCCTTAACATTTTTAATCAAAGTAATGTTGACTTACTAACACAACAATTACTGACCAAATAAACCTTATTTGGAGGATATAACGATCGCAAATTTCACAAGTTTGTAACTAATGTATATCAATTAGCAATATTTAAAATGTTATGTTGCTTTTTGCACTGTTAACACATTAAATCAACACAGTTTTTTATTATTTTATTTTCCAATAGTTACCTGTCAGAAATATTTTCTATCTTTGTATCAGATACCTTGCGTTCACATTCATGTTTTAGATGTTTTAGAAAAGAAATAATGAAAATGCAAAACAGGATTCGCTTTCATCAGAAAGACTTTTAACAACACGGTTAAAGATAAAAAAGACGTATCAGGTGATGCATATTCCATGGCACGAAACGTTCCTTCCGGGATTTCTTATTGAACAACAAAATATTTCATTTGATCGTTTTGACGTTAACCTTACGATACTAATTCAGACATAAAACTACTATAATTGTGTACCAAGACGCGTCCGTGTTTCCATAACTTTATCAATGCATTATTTAAGACAGGGTTTAGGAAACTGTACGTTCTTTGTAAGCATGGTAGTGGCACGTACTTGTTTAATTAGGAATATGACTCAAAATCATGGGGCTTTTTATACCATTATCAGAATGTTTTCATCATTGTAAAGTTAAAGTAAAGAATCTAGCAGTTGCAATGACATGAAAGATTAGGGATGCATGTATTTATAACATTAAGAACTAACGAGATTAATTCCATTTCTGTATTATATATATCCTGATTACGAAATGCTACTCTGTCGGAACCCTATAGAACTACCTTTTATACATTTTCTCTAGTTTCTTACTGTAATTTGATTTTCTAAAACATGTTAACTCATAAAAACGCTGCATGAATTACTTTAAACTTTCTTCCTCAATAGGTCTACAATAAGAAATAAATACCAATTTGGACATAAATATGTATACAATGGATTTCTTTAAGGTTAATTATCTTTTTATTTTTATCGTCAGTCAGTTTTTCGAAGTCCTTTTATTGCTTTTCTTGCTTTCCACTTTACTATTGTACATCCCTTCTTTGTTATTACATCTTTAATATGGAATAAAACGAACAAATGTCACAATTAGAAAATGTATTGACTATCTTTTCTGTTACTGAATATGAAACTGAGCAAGGTCATTGATATCTTGAGATACATGTCACGCCAATATATATACATAAGTGGTCAGTTGAGACATCTTACATCGCAGCCGGGACTCGAACCACGTGTCTCTAGATTGCCCGTCCAGTATGGTAACCACTGCACCACAACAAGCTAATTGGCCTTTCATATTTAGGAAATTTTTATCTTTATTGTGATGTCATCCCGTTTAATACCACATCGGCGATCGATCAATAGCTACTCTTACTTTAGCGACAGTTTTTCTTAGTGCAAATATTCTTATGGCAAGCACATTCGGCCACTTCCGCCTTTATGGTATAAAATGTGCTCATGACGGTAATTTCAGTAATAGTATAGTAACCGATAAGAAACGGAAATTACAACATGGAGAATTATGGAGTTACGTATCTATGACAAGCTAAATTTAATATACATATAGGGATATAAAAAGTATGTTGAGTTTTTCCTTACCTTTCGTGTCTTATGTTAGCCAGTGCGACTTGTGACGCTGAGGTCGGCCGTTTTTCATTATCATGAATTAATTCCGCATCAACCTCTAACTTGTTTTTACTAACATGATTTAAACACGATCCCATCTCAATTACATATATCTTTTTTAATGTATTTTTTGATAAAAATTCAAGCCGTGTGACTATTGATATAATAAATAATGTCTTTAAATTCTTATTAGAACAGTTACTGTGTTAAATTAAATGTTGTTTCAATGTCATTTCAAATAAACGAAAACGAATTTCAAAGTAAAATCATCTTTGTCTCCTTTATAATAGTTATCTTCCATGTTTACGTCGAACCCACTTAGCCACAAAGAAATCTTTTACTTATTTGCGTAACCGACGAAATAGTCCACGGTCATAAAATCTTGATAAAACCAGGAATGCAATTATATCATATTTATTGAAATGTAGTATACTCTTCCTTTATATTCAATATTTTGGTTCATTGATTAACGTTCACAGGTTTATGAAATCTTATACTGTTCTATTATATGGTGTATATGAAAACTTTGATCAATAGTAAAGCCGGTGTAAATCATTCTAGTATTGTTGAAATATATATCATGTTTTATCGACATGTCATATTTAAAGGTGCGTATCTTAAAACCTTAATTGTGTACATTGTTTAAATATTGTCTGTAAAAGTACAATATCTGATATTATATTCTTTTTGATTGATCATTATATATAAGAACGGTTACGTTTTCAAAGAGGTTATAAATCTATGTTTCGGTATAAGATGAGGTCAATCGTTGACAAAACAAATTCGCTCTCTGTATAAATATAATTTCCCTTTGAAAAATATTAAAAATGATAAGATTCTATATCTATATAACGGAAACAACATCAAGTTAAGATATTGAAATAACTGAATGAATATCCAATAAACATAAAACTTGTCATAAAGCGAAACGGCAAATGTTCGACAACTCTTACAATTTTGTTGACACAGTATAACAATATTAACCCGCATTGTATTTTTTTACTTTAAATTCTTTCCCCTATCAAATCAAGTGATTTACTCATAGATTTTCATTTAATTTATTTAATTATGTATTTCCTCTATACATACCGACAAAGTGGCAAACAATAATTATGACTATGAAATACTTAATATATTTATTCACTTTTAGATCATTAATTATTCATTTACATTTTTTATAAAGTATGTTTCCATAGTAACAGATGTAAATATATACATTTACATATGTATTATTTATTTTAGTCATTAACAGGTAGTAAAAGACTTCCTTTGCATATAAATAAACTCTCAACAATTAAAATCAGTATGCAATGCTTTAAGGAATATACACCATAGCAATACAATTTTAATTAATTAGCGACCTGTTCCGAATTATCTTTTTATTTGCTTTATACAAATCGGATATTTTTCAGTCAGAATGATGAGCGTAGTATTACATTAAGAAACACGTGCACATCAATACAGACTTGTGACAAAAGACAATACAAGACGTATTTTAAGAAATAGATGTATTTGTAATGAAGCATCGCAAAGCTAAAATTTTAGTTTATTAAGTACTTCAGTATTGTCTCCTAAATGTTGTTCCTGTATAAAATGATTACACAAAAACATTGTCTCTGTTTAAAGTATAGTATACTACACTGTTGTCTTGCGTAAATGTTATGATAATTGTGTCTCGCCAGTTTGTCACATTAAGATGAAAGTTAAGTTAAAGCCGTACATCCCTACATCACAGTTATTATAATCATCCACGAACTGTTGCAAGGTTTGCCTCAACAGGAGTTGAATAGCTAGACAGAAAGAAGCTAGGATCAGCCCGAAGGAGAAATCCTGAAAATGAACTCCATGTTTGGTGTATGTATGATGGACCTGTTCCCCATGATCCATGCTTTACCATTTTCACTTTGTCTCCAGCATTCAGGTTAACAACAGCCATGTTGCTTCCAGATCCGTGAAACTTCCCTCCAGAATGTAAAAACATTTTATCTACACCATTGATACGAAGTGAAGTTTCTATCCGTTGATCTATCCCTGAGAGTATATTTGAGAAGAAAACGTATGTACCTGGTACAGGTGCCGTGAATTCACCACTTGTACTGTTGTAAGAGCTTCCGTTATTTGTTTCAACGTCATCAAATACAACTGTCGCCCACGGTGAAATATTGTCATAACTTTTAGAAAGTCTAGCGTAAAAAGCCACATTCTGGCCATTGATAAGTTTGTTCATTTGTCCATCAAAGTTCCGCACTTCATGCCCAATGGCACCTTGAATTTGTTTGTACATATCAAACTCCGTCTCTAATTTCATTCTTCTTTCCCTTTCAGTTTTTAACTGTAGCTTAAGATCAAGTATGTCATTAACAATGGATGCCATTTGATTTGAGTTTCCGGCTGGGGCTGATTCAATAACCATTGCTGGGATCATTAAAACTGCAACATAAACGATATTCATCGTATTTTTGTAAAGTAAAAGAAGGTTAATCCAAACTGTGTCAGATGTCATAAATAAGACAAACACATCAATGTGTCTTAAAATATATTACACTTATAAATTAGGAAATAGCTGTAACCTTACATTCCTTCTTTATTCAATGTATTAAATCAATGCTCAGATAGTTGAAATCCGTGTTACACTATATTACACTATTTATTAATATCCCACAAAGGAGTGTCTTAAGTGTAAATGTATTCCACGAAAATGCAAAAACCCTAACTAACAAAATACGAGTATATTAATTTTCATAATAATTATTCATATTTGAACCACAAAATCCTTGTCAAATTGTAAGAGTAGTTACAGTTGATGTTATGCTAGCGTGAAGACAATTATTTACTGATTTATAGTCTATGGACGTACATTAAGCTTGTCTGTGAATATACTTCATATGTATATATGTAACTAGGCGTGATTTATAATTACAATTTTACGCATTTAATGTTACCGAGGGATGGACAGGCTACGAAAGGGGAAACAAAATACTTTCATTAACATCAATAGGATATGAAAATATTTTGTAAACTATATCTATTTATATGAAAATTTGGCAATTAAATGGGCGAATTATGGATGAGAAGAACAGAACTTCAATACTTCAGCCCTATGTTCTTTAGATCACAAAATGACATATTATAAAATATATTTCATCAGTAATGTTTTATAACTACATTTATTTAACGGAGCTATTACGTGTATATATCCCGTAGATTAAATGTTTTAATCCTCTAACAAAACGAAAATCTACGCAGATAATAAACCTGATTCTTACTTATCAGACGTTTTGTTTATTTTCCCTTGACCGCAAATTGTAGGATAACGCCACCAGATAACATAGTTTTTAAAAAATGTGTACGACTGTTCATCTTAAGTTTACTACTAGTATCAGATAAGTCTGAACTCAAGAGGGGTTAACAGACGAGGATTTTCTAAAAAAAGATTTATTGATAAGAAATGCACATAGCAACAGTTAATTGTCGTCTGACCTGATAAATATGTTACTTTCAGTGTTGAACAAATGATGAATTAAGTTTAAATCAATTTTTGCTGTATAAATGTATGACATAATGATTCCAGATACTTTGTTTAAACAAAACATGCTCTGGGTGTTGTATACCAATTATTAAGGGATCAATGTGTGCGACTGTTTATTTATTTATTTAAAACTGTCAATACAAGAACACATATATATTTCGATTTGGTTATTTAAAAAAAATCATAGTTTTTTATACATAATAACAAATCGCCTATTCTAGAAAGCGACCATGACATGCGGGCCTTTCTAGACAATTTCGCATGGGAAATAGATATATTTACAAACAGTCACTATGAATAGAAAATGAACAAATCGCCCATCCATAAAATGCTACCATGCCATGCCGGCCTATCAAAAGCAATTCCCCTTGTGTTATACATGTGTGCCTTGTATTGTAAAATAAACGAAACACAGAACTAATAATCAGGCAAATAGTTGTTTTTGTTGAAAGAAAATTCATTAACTTTAGATACAGAAATACTAGCATGCCACTGTCATTACTAAAATTCTGCAACTAAACTGACTATCGCTGGTTGATAACTGACCAGGAAAAAACAATTTTCTCCGGAAGTGACTGACTGCATATTCCTACGGGAAGTGAGAGACGAATGATCACTTGATTCTCTAATCTGAGATCAACTGTCTAGAATAAATTCCGAGTAACAAACCTGTGGTTTTTAAAGACTATCATTTTAACGTTTATTGGTACATGTACACATTTGTACTAAAAGCAGCATAAGTAAGTGATGAAAATTAAAAGAAAGTGTTCCAATTCATTGCGTTTAAACTAATAAGTGTTATGAATACACTCGGTTCCATGATGGCCTAATTTTACTTAGCAGTGTTTCTGCACTGAACAGGTGTAGCAGCCGCTGCGAAGAGTTGGCTAAAATTCATCAATATTGTAAACCTTCTAAATCTTTTTACAATTCTACCAATCAATTGATTACTTCAAATCTGTTCCTCATATTGGCACGTTGCCCTTAAAGGGACTCAACTGAGGTTTGTACACTTGACGGGATTAAATATAATCCCTAAATTTGTGTCAAATTTGGTGTGAGTAGTAATCAATAAATTGTGTGTAAATGTTAAGATCATTCTCGCAGCCTGTTTTACCCGAATAATCTTTGTTTTATTAACCTATCGATTTTCAATTTCTTAATTTAAACTAGTATATTTAATTATTATACTTTTCAGGGTTTATTTTATAAGTGCTTCATGTAAAAATTTCAGATCTTTTGTTGTTATTAGGCTTTTTGACCTAACTGGAGTTCCCTTAAAATCACAATTTCAAAAAGCGCGAAAGAGGATGTAAAATCGTAATTGAAATTTACAAACTGACAGGGCAAACGATTACAACGCATGCATATTTTGTAAAAACATGGTTGCTAAAAATCGCGGGGATTTTGGTCATTAAATAGAGTTACATTTAAAAATGTCGTTTCTAAACCGTCGCAATTTTACAATATTATAACTTATTATATTGAACAGATATCATTTGTATGGACTAAATGAAACTTTACATCTTAACTATTGTGTGAAGATGTCTTTTTTGTGAGTATGCCTTTGATAAAAATTAGTTTTTATCTACTTCATATGATTTAGTAATGTATGTTATTAAAACATGTATATCAATAAGACGTTGTATATTACGTAGTAATGCATTTACTCATGAACTAGAATTGTGTTATACATAAGAACAATTGTATGATTAATAGATTATTTCAAGTAGCAGTACTCAAAATAACTAATATTTGGAGTTTTATAATACATATATAACATGCTTGCTTGAATTTATTTTATCAAAATTATGGCAAGGGGTTCAATCAGAACATTTTTTATTATTAATGACGTTATTTTGGTAACGTCAAATAAAGCCCTGAACATTGTATGTGTTGCTCATAACATACACTTCAAATGCTTATCACCATATTTTTAGAAGAATATTACGTTTATATTTGTTGTCATTTTCTATGCAGTAAGTTCGTCCAAATTGTTTATGATCCCGCAACTTGGCCGCTTAATACCACGCATTACTTTTATGTCAGTGTTTTAAATAGTTTTATTTTACGTTTGTATTTAGTTTACATGTATAAATAGTGTATTATAAATAATGTTTTCTTCAAATTATCACCCCTTGAATTCGATTGTTTTTGTTACTTACGATAATTTCAAGGGACCGATAACTTGTTTATACGTTAAACATTACTTTGTAACTGCTTCATAACATTTCACGAATTTCTATCAAGCCGTTTTCAAAAGAAAAAAAATATCTTCAGTAAAGAAGGAAAAATAAAAAAAGCTTCAATACATTAAAATTAGAAAGTGCAATAAAGATAATTTGAAGAAATGGTCGTTTACCCCCTTTTCTGTCATGATATTTAATTTTCTTTCTAAAATCATGCCAAGTGTCTACATATTTGTCCTAACATTTTATTTGTTTTAAGACTTAACTAAATTTTGGTTGAGAAACCATGCTTTTTTGAAAAAGTGGAAGAAAAAATCAAATTCATGATAATATGGTGCATACATTTTTTGTAACCTAGGGTTAAGAATTTTTTGGCGGCGGATCAAGTGGAAAGCTATTGTACAAGATTGAATTATAGTGCGAGTATCGATCAGTTTACATAAATCAATGTAATCTAATTTCATTTAAAAGATATTGGGGACAAAATCAATCTTAAACTTGCATGATTACATAGTTATGTGTCAGATTTCATTAATCTAGCATTGCTTACTTAAAAAAACCTTAGTAGCAACATAATCATACAATGCACCTTTTAAAGTGATGATTTGCCTTCATTGAATTGTTAAAGAATCAAACTTGGTATTAACTTCGTTAGAAAAATGCAATATACATATTAAGTGAATAACGTGAATTATTCAGTCCTTTATTTGATAAAAATTGATCAAGATAATGTAATGCCTATCTGCATGGCAATTTGAATAGCCATATATGAAAATGTGTGATTTTCGTTTACAATATCATGTTAATTAGCGGCATAATTTGTTTTACAGTAGAAGCAAGAAGTCTCCAACCCATCATAAACCTGTTCAATCTTATTCCCGGTCAATATCTAGGGAAACTAGGAATGAGCGTTTTGACAAGCTTCTTTCATCATTGACAACAGATGTTCAAAATCTTGCAACAGCTATACGGGAAACGTTACACAATGATGAAAATGATAAGGTATTTGATAATATATCTTTTTTTAACATAAGCATTCGATTGCTTATGGTTGTACATTGTATTTAACACATATTTAGAAATATACTCACAACGTGATTGCTGAAATAATACGACACAAAGATAATTATATATTTTTGAAACATAATTTTATTTCCTAGTTCCGTGAGACTTAAATGATACGGTTCATGTACACAGTTAAAAAATTCGCTAATGTCGCTGATTTGAAACGAAACAACTTGATTTTGGTTGAAATTGCAGATTAGCTAAGCAAGGCATAAATTTCAAAATTATGATTTTGATTCTGATCTCTTAAACTTTATGAACGTAACAAGGGCAGCATGGTCGCACAATACGCCCGTCGCAAAAGCTTTTGACAGAGATGTGCATAAAGGAGATTTGCTCTTGGCAATATCCGGAAAATATCTGAACATTTTATAATCTATAGTAACCTTGATATCAACATAAATTATATTTGTCACTTTTGTAGTCATGATAGTTATCATTTGTGTAACAATCCATCAATAAACGATGACTAAATGGTCCACGTTCACAAATTTTGACTTCTCTATGTGACATTGAATTTGGTTGTACAAAAAACCTCACAATGGTGAACATTTGTGCCAAATTGCATTCAGATTATCCGGTGAATGTAGAAGTTCGGCTCCGAACAAGCGCCTTTCAATGACCCCTAATATTACATTTGCCTTTAACATAGAGATCTGGTTCTTGCACTTGACACTGCTTCTCAAAGTAGTGAACATTGCTATGAAGATTTATCAAAATCCCACCA